AATGTGGTCGGAACCAACATCGCACGCGCTCATATCGAGAGTAAGAGCGCCTCCTTTACAAAAGGGTAGTAAGTACAACTACATCTAGCTAGTAGTAGCTAAGTAGCTAACCACCACTATCTTTAAAAAAAAAAAATCGTTCGCTTTCATAAATTGCCGACAGAAAAACGTTGCAATTTAAAATTGACGAAAACAGTTCAAATTTAAACAGGTAGGTTAAATAGACAGATAGTTTCCGCTTTTTAATTTTTGGACCCAATAAGTTTGTGCCATTTTCTAACCTTTGTAGACATTATGGCATAACCATGTTGAGTGGTCTATTAACGCAGACTAAAAAGCATTGTGATGTGGCATTGGTCATTTAACAGCATAAAGACACCTTTTAGTCAGAATATAGCACAATACAAACTGAAACGATTGTAGTTGTAGGAGAGGGGTCTTAGTCTCTTAATAACACAAAGACACCCTTACCAGCCAGAATTTAGCACAACGTAGAAAACCATGTAGATGTGGGAACAAGGGTTTTAGTCGCTTATTAGCACAAAGACACCCTTAAGCCAAGGTCTTTTCATGACAAAATGGAGCTCGCATAGCATAAGGACGCCTCACCAGTCACAAACGCCTTTTCAGGATGAAATGAGACCCACATAGCACAAAGACACTCTCACGAGATTGGGATTGGTATTGTCCGCTTTGGGTTCTATGACTGCACAATTTATCCTTAAAAGATGCTTCTAGGTGGAGGGTGTCCTTATACTATATAAACAATTAAGATCCTATCGCTAACCAATATGGGACTTTGAAACCAATCACAAAATGAATAATTACAATTTGTCATGAGCTTTGATATAGTATAAATTAATTTTATATATGTTTTAGTCTTTGTCACTAACAATGGTCTATAAGATTTGCAAAATTACTGATAAAACTTAAAAAATTGCCCAAAAAAAAAAAAAAAAAAAAAATGTTCGAAACTAAATGTTACTTCAGCAAAATCTAGGCCTAAGATTCATACCAAATGATTTGGGCTAGCGGGTTCTATCGTGTCACACCAACAGAACTAGTTTTACAAGGATGAATAATGATGCTAAGTGCACCAAGCATATTTTTAAGGACCACTATTATTTTAATTTATATTAAAATTCAATTTATTATTTAGGGTGTTGCATAGATTTGGGGCTTAAAGTGTGAAAGCTAAACATCACATTAAAAGGAGAAATATTCGCTTATTAATTCGGTAAGAAGATTGAATGAATCTCAATAGTAAGGCAAGAGCCATAATATGAAAAAAGAAAAGGGTCACAAGGACTGGTCAGCATCAAAATATAAGTAAATATCAAAATGGGAAGCTGTAGGCTCTGGGAGGCAGGGGCACCAAGGACGAAGGCTTTCACAATTATTATATGCTCGAGGTATCATGCTTAGATAAGAGAGGCCATTAATTTTCATAATATGTACGACGTTCGATTTCTTCAAAGACGAAACATTTCTTCCACGTAAAGACCCGACAAAGGAGAGGAGGGGACCTTGGAAATGTGAAGTGTCACTATTATAATACGTGGCTAGAACCCTTAGGATGTTTGGTTGTAGCTACAGTACCATTAGATGCTATTGAATAGTTGATTATTCATATCCTATGCAAAATATTCCCTGCATCTATTTAGTGCACTGGACACCCAATCCAAACGGGGACCGTCAATCATGAAGTGGGTCCACTTAATGTGGACGGACAGTGATTGACCTCAACACTTCTAATATTCTACAGTAACCGCAGGTTGCGACAAATCCGGCACGACCACTGTATTTAGAAGAAGAAGAAATCATCGATGGCCGGATTCATTTATAAAATTAAAATATCATAAACCATCTTCACTCATTTCAAAACTTTCACATTTTCACTTCCCCAGCTTCTGACTAATTCAATGAGAAAAAGATCTTATCCAGTTTTTTCAATGAAACTAGATAAATTTATCTGTGATTCGCAATGAAACCACAGGGAAAGAAGGTTCAGGATTTTTGATCAGTTGTTAAAAGAAAATGGAACCAGTTGAAAACAGAAAAGGAAAGTTCAGACTAAAGCATATTGATATTGTGAAAACAGTAGAAATCCATGGAAGAACCGAAAGAATTCGAGAAAAAACCAGCGGATCGAAATTAGTAATGGAAAGAGGATCGTGGAAGTCTATAAATGAAACGATCAGAGTAAATCAAATAGATCGTTGTGGTTATATAAAAAAAAAAAAAATAATAATAATAATAATAATAACATCACATTGTAGGCGGCAAAGCACAGACGGTGAAAGAGAGAGAAAATAAGTACCTGAAGAACCGTGACCGCAGCGGTTGATAGAAGAAGAAGGAGAGAGAGTACGGATCGCCACGCAGCTTCCCTGAGTTCTAACTACGCTCATCTCACTCTCTAAACGCTTAATCTCCAATAACATTCACAGCAAATCTCAAAAAATTAAAATTTTCAGCCCTAAAGGCAAGTGTCTGCATGTGAGAGATAGTCGTGGTCCGAGTATTTTGAGCGAGTGTGAGTTACTGATATACAGATCAAATGTCAAAATTGCCCTCTCCTTGCCACTTTTCGCAAACACGACTTTACAAGTTAAAAGTAGAAGAACACGTATAAACAAATAATAAATGGATTCACAATTTTAAGAATTTTAATTAACAAATATATAAATATGGAATATTAGATTAATTTAGTAGAAAGATCATAATATTGATATGAAAATATATGTTGTTGGGATACTATTACGAAGAGACGGCCCATATATATATATAGAGTAAACGACGTATTTTCACTCATGGTTGCATTTATTTTAGATTCTCACTCTTAAACTAACATCGTTAGTGACAGTTGGAGGTGAGTGAGGTTGGCAAGTGAAGGTATGAGTTTTGTAGGGGGGATTAAGGAGAGTTTAACGGTAGTCTCATAAGTGATTTTGGACTTCAGAATAGGTTGAAAAAAGCCAAAAAGCGTTGGCTTGGATGTTACTAAAGTGAGCATTTTTTTGCTTACATAAGCCGGTCTTATGCCAAAGAAAGCGCTGAAACACTTTAGCATACTAACGTGTGTCACGCTATAATGAAAAGTTGAAAATATGTTAAAACAATGAAAACGATATTACTTTAAGGTGAAAATCTTGAATAAATATAAACATGTGTATCAATTTAGGATTTTGCTAAATCTCGAGTAGGAATATATGGCTTGCTCATTTAGTTATGTTGATTGGCCATAAGTAAGTGGTTACTTAATAGAAATTTTCTCTTGAAAAATTGTTACATAAGAGACTATTGGCATTAATATAAAAGAAGGGTAATCTAGACTTTGAAATGAGATGGTAGTTGTAGTTTTGTATGTAGTATTAATAATACTATTATTCCCTTAATTAGTTTGGAGTAGAGATGTATGTTTTGAATGTGACAGGAACTTCAAGACTGTCTTCAGACTCCACATGGCAGGATTCTTGTTAAATACTAATCAGAGTCAGTCGGCGATACTTTTTTTTTTTTCCAACTTAATTATAAATAGCCTAATACCACTCAACTAAGAGAGAGTGTAACACACATCCATCTTCTTTTTCTTAATATCTTAATATTACTAATTAAAAGAAAAAAGAAAAAATGATTAAGGTTGTTGACAAATTACTCGCCGAAAAACAAGTGGGACGTTTAAGTTGAAAAGAAGACAGACGACAAAAGTTAAGGTAATGTAAAGCCAAAAAGGCTAATGTCTTTGGAGTTAGCTACGCAGTTTACTGTTATGTCTTTGTCTACTTGTCGTCTGAGATTGAGATATGATATGACTGCCACGTGGATTATAATAGAATCGAAAAAAGATAATTAGGGTTTTAAGTGTTCGGTGTTCCTTTGAGCCTTAAAAGGAAGGCAACAATCCAACAACAATAATTTATGTCACCCACGCCACTCAGTTACCCTAACTACTCTCCAATTTGCCTTTTTTTTTTTTTTTTCTCTTGTGACAATAATATGGTTTGACTACTAAGTAGATAAAGAGTTCATTATCAAACCAATCCTTAATTTGACCAAACAATTTTATAAGGAATTTGTTACACCACTAGCTCTAGGAATTTGACATTACTATTTTACTAATCAACAATTCTTTAAATCCAGTTGATGTTCACGTGGTGGAATACATAGTATAATAGGTCATTGGTGTGTAATGACTATAAATCATCAAGTAGCCTTCATTAGATGGAATTGTATTTTCAGATGGGAAAATAATTAAAATTGCAGATGGGAATTGACGTGATAGGTATGATAAATGAGAATAGGTTTCTTTCTATACTGCACCGAAATTTTTGGAATCTTGATTTACCAAACTATAAAATTGGATCGCAACAGGCAAAGGTTTAAGCCAATTGCATATGGAGGTTATATGAACCTATCAACTAGGTTTTTAATCAATAAAGATTAGCTCACAACCCAATCTCATAAACCCTCTATATGACAATTCACAGAAAATTCATCAGAAACTGATTGCGAACTGTCGCATTAAGATTGTGAGAACAAGTTTGTGAGATTTAGTTGTAAGTATAATATTTTCTATTTTTAATTCAGCAATGTACTTCTTAAACACTGTATACCCTAAGGTTGAGCAAACTTCTTATTATATATATGTGTGTGTGACTAAGGGTGTTTGGATTAGTTTGTGCACACCTAAACTAATTCTCCGAGGTTTTGAAGTTAACAACCGAATAAACCCTCCAATGGCTACTCATATTAACAACCGAAGGAAATCAAACTCAAGACCTCTTGAGTAAGACACCCAAAAGTCTCTATCGTCCTACCCAACTTCCCAAGGGTGATTCAAACTTCTTAATATGCCAGACAGCCCAGCGGCTTCAGCAGCTTCCATGAATCAATAGCCTTATAGAACATGGCTAATAAGGAATTCAGATGAAATAGTTTGCACAAAAAACACATATATAGGAAAAAAGAAAATAAAAAAGAAAGAACACAGATGAATCGATGGGATATTATCCCTGTCATTAAAAACATTATAGAACAATCTATGGACATTATTACAGCCAGTTGGAAAAGACTCGCCGAATTGTGTGTGTGTACAGCCCTATGTCATTAAATTATTAAGAACTCGCTTCTGCACTAAGTTGTTATCAATCATTGTCAAAGAAGTAAAATGCTCTATCTGTTATATGAACTGTAAAGCCGGCCAACAATGGGGATAAAAAACTCATGACCATCTCTGCCTCTCGCCCATAAAAGGGTAGCAATCATAAACGAGGCAAAAGGATTATAATGTACAGTGTCGCATATGGAGATCAAAACTCACCTTCTCCACCAATCTGGAACTTTCAACCTTTTTTGTCTATTTACAGCAAGATGAACTGCAGGAAGTTTGTACTTAACCTGTCTCCATAGCATATTGATGGCATCTTCTTTTTTGGGGGGATATTGGAATTCAAAGTGATGTGAGATGCTCTTAAGATGCCTCCACATTTTAATCCACCTCTCTTTTGGAAATTGTCGGAGCTGATTAACCATGTAACCAGGTTGTACAGCCTCTTTCACGGAAAAGATAATCGAGAATTGAGTGTAATCAATTTCATCCTCAAAGGGGAGCTCAATTCGATCACTCACAATTACTGGAACGCAGTGGCTTACAATAGCATCAAATAGGCGGCAAGATGATGGAGTGTCTCCTGCAGGATGCAAACAGAACTTTGAAGAACGCATCCCTAGTGTGGACTGGTATCACAGAAGAACAGAAAGAAAAAATGAGAAAAGGGAAAACTCTGGTTAAACATATTTGCATAAACCAAAGACTGCCAAAGACAAATCCCATCTTATGAAATTGGAAAAATACATAGTTTCTTTTCTTTTAAAGAGATATAAAGAATGAATTTGCATTTTGCTCCTTACATGAAAGACCTCTTCTATTTATTTTAGGATAGAAGCTGTTAACTATAACAAGAGATAAAAAAATAGCTCCCCAGTCTCCAATGATAACAGTTTCCCAGGATGAAAGTTTTATTTTAAAAGTAATGGAAGGATATAATGTATTGCAAGAATTTTGCATGACAGGGAGAAATTCAAATGGTCATACAAAAAGGATGGTGTCTGCAAAACTTGCCATCATGAATCAATGAGAAGCCAGCATACAAGAATCTAACAAGATCACATATTTTGATAGTGAAATACTGTGATGGGGACAAAGAATTATTGGTCTTGTTAAACATGTTCTGGGGCCTAAGAAACAAACTCAATTTTGATGATCTATAAAACTCCACAACATACCTCTTTAATGCTCGTTGTTGTTGCCGAGCTACGCTCATAGTAAACATCATCATAGCCAGTTAATATCTTTGCCAATTTAGCACGAACTTTGCCTTCCTGCAGCACAAGAAGACTATAAACAATCAATTCTAGTTCCAAATAGTGGTTCCTTAATGGGATAGTTATTGGTTAAACTAGAATACATCTTTTCTGACTGTATTCCCCCGGAAGAAGAGCAATGAGGTGCGAGACTCAAATGGGTCTGGAGGGTCATCATCTAAAAAGGATTCCACAACGTGTACATATGGGGAGACCACATCTTTGCTCAGATTAGACATGCTCCTGGGGTACCGACCAAAATCTACAATAATAAGAATTGATGCATTCACTTGCTCTCGAAGAAATCTGAAAGCATTCGGATGCGTCATAGGAATTACATGGTCTCTTCCTCCTGACCTCTGCCAGTATTTGGATTTATGCAAGTATTCCAGAACTTCAATCTGAAATCAGAAGACAATAATCAAATGGTAATTTGAAGTTCAGGGAGAAAAAACAAATATCTGTTTGCTGCATCAATTTTGGAAATGGCTTATATAGAGTGCAGAACTTGAAAAGGGAAAAATTGGTCAGCAGAGGGAGTGCAGGACAAAAAAGAAGGAAAACATGGAAAAAAAAAATAATAATAATAATTTATAAATTTCCCAAAATATTACAATTGCTATGGGGTAGAGCTATTTCCATAATGGTTTACACAGGCAATTTTTCAGCAACTTTGCATCTGGAACCATCAATTAATTTCTGAAAATCCTTACATGCTTGCCTTTCAATGTTAAAGTAAAAGCTAAAAATGCTCCTTTGAAAATGACTGACGAATGGATTAATTTATTTTCTGGCCTCTCATCAACTAAAAGCTTATAACCAACCAAACCAATCATCATTATAACCAACAAATTGGAGGGTGACAAAATAAAAAGATAGTCTCACAAGAAAGCAAAGGCATAGATAAAATACTTGGGAGACTATCCACTATAAAATTGCTTCTATGAATATAACATTTTTTATATAAACTGACATAACTTCCAAACTTAGCTATATCTAGCTTCACCCAATAATAGTACCTACAAAGAGATCGATTCCTAAACTACATTTCCCAGCTTCCCTTTTCAGCTGTTTAGATCTACAAAGATCAACAAATTCGTGCAATCAATCCAACTTTGCAGTTTGCACTACTATCCATATGCATAAACGAATTCCCAAACACAGACAAATCTAATCATCAATGCGTATTTTCGAAATTATAAATCAACAAATTATATACTAATTTCCATCTAAACTCTGAGGAACAAAAAAAATAGTACGTCCCTAGTTGCAGCCGTAATTATATAGAAAATAAATTAATTAAATTAGTACCTGCAATTGGTGGTCAATCTCGGTATCTGGATCCGTCATGTAATGGCCATGAGTATTAAAACTCAACGAAGAAAAAAAGGGCACGAAAAATGCATCGGCAATTTCCGGATCCAAAACCCTAACCGCCTCTCTTTCTTCACCGTCGCCACCGTCGTACAAAAGCGAAGCCATAAGCCAATACTCCACACTGTGCTGTCGTTTCACGCCTGAATTATTCGGCCAAGGCGGCAGATTCTCCTTGGTCACTAGCAAGTCATCAGGACTCCGGTGGTCCAACATGCCGACGTGGAACCTCCTCGGGAGATCGTACATGTAGACTTTAAGTGGAGCAATGTTTGTCGCGCAGGAGGAGAGTGCGGCGGAGGGCGACTGTAGTAACGGAAAAAAGTACGATCGAATATCGACGGTCCCGATGAAAATTGAGTAAGTCATGATGAGAAGAGCGACGAAAATGAGAGAGAATATAACTTTTCCAAACATTTTGGAGACCTCTTGCCGTTAACAAAGCTAACGTCAACAGTCTCGCCTTGGTGCAGGTGCCGGCGTCTTTATAAGGCCAAGTTTCTTTCAGTTAGACAAAACGGAATGAAGAACAGTTGCTCCCCTGTTTTATGAAATGGATGGTATTGTACAGTACTGATTGTACTCACCTTGTAGCCATGCCATTTAACGTGCTCTGCCCAGTGCTGTGGGCGGTACCCGGTACTAATTAATTAATTAATTAATTATAATCAAAAAAATCATTTTAATTTATGTAATCACCACGACGAGGCCACCTTCCTTCACTGGCACTTCCATTTCTGTTACCGCCAGATCTCCGTGATGCCGCGTCTGTGCAGTTAAAAGAAGTAGAATTAAAGCTTTTAACATTCTACTTCTTTTAACCGAACTTTTTCATTTTATAATTAAATTAATGGCTGTATAAGGCAATTCAACGTGGATTTGGGCTGGACTTGTTCCTTCATAGGCAAGGAAAGTATTTATCAAGTATTAATTTTAATTTTAATTCAATTTTATAATTGGTTGAAAATTCTTATCTTATTTCAATTCACATTTTCAGACAAGTTCATTTTATGACATTGTTCATAACTTTCACTACTAAAGAATAGTCATGTGAACAATTCTTTTCTAAAATGGGTTTCATAAAATTGAGAATTACAGAGAAAAAGATTACATAGTTTCAAAGATAACCCAACGCAGGTAAATATGATTCGTAGTTTAAATTTTAAACGATTCCCCAATGCCGGTAAACCGTAAATATGATTCGTAGTTTAAATTTTAAACGATTCCCCAATGCCGGTAAACCATGATTAATGAATGACACGCCGAAACAAGACTACATTACAATCTTATGCAAAGGCAGGTAAATCATGGATCATGATTCGTGAATGACAAACCGAAACAAGACTACATTCAGTCACATAACTTGGGAGTTGGGGCCATCAACAAGAAAAAGCCCCTTTGTTTTTCTCAGCCAAAGATCGAAGTGTTTAACGGGTCTTTTTCATGAGGAATCAAGGTTTCCATCGTTTACCAGTTTCTTCAAGAATGAATATACCTCATTTTCATCTATCTGATTTATGCCGATGATCATCTCTCTCTCTGTGACGATGAGAGGAAGAATCCCCATGTTTAGTTGAATATTTGTCCCCTCCTCTTCTGTCTCGGTCTTCTCGTGTATAAGAGTCAGACTCATGCCTTGTAGATCTCCTTTCTCCCCTCCTATCATCTTCTCTGGACCTTGGCTCAAATTCATCATCACCATGCCTTCTCGACCTCTTTTCTTCCCTCCAATACTGATCTCCTCCTGACCTACCCTGAGGTTCATCATCAGTGTGCCTTCTTGGTCTCTTTTCTTCCATTCTATAACGATTTTCTCTCGAACTGGGCTCAAATTCCTCAGCATCATGCCGTATCAATCTCTTTTCTTCCCTTCTATGATCATCATCTCTAGAATTTTCAATATAATCATGTCTTCTTGATCTCTTCTCCTCCCACTTATCACTTTGCTTAGGGTCACTCTCTAAAGCCTTTCCATTGCCTGTTGCTATGGAACTTGAATCCTTATTATCCCACCTAAAACCTTCTTTCTTACCTTCAAATTTTTCATGTCCCCATCGAGAACTTTTATCCTGAGGACCCCCACCAGTGTTAGCAGCTCTCTGGATAAAGAAAGAGCAAAGCATTAATACAAACCTCCATCACAAAGGCGGAGAAAGTTATCAATGCACAGCTCGGTAGTGCAAATCGCAGTTTCCCACTCAATTTTTTCAAAACACTAACAACTTAAAGGCAAAAGTGCAATAACTTGATTACCTATTAACGGACAAGGTGAAAATATTTCTCTGATTAACAAGTATTTTAAAAGTTAACGCAATGGTTTCTTAAAAGAAGAATCAAAAGCAAAAACTAGTTGTGGATGCATAAGATTTGTCTTAAATCATCAAATATCCAACACTAATGTGTAATGATTTGTTCCTAAAGCTTCACTAATCTTACTTGCTCATCATGCGAAAATTTGCATCCAGCTCCACGGGTACATTCACCTCTTTGGAAAGCACGGCACACTCCTCGTTCCTCCCGCTTCCTCTGTTGTGTCTCTTCATCCTCTTCTTCTTTCTTTTTGTATTTAGTAACATGATCAACCCTCATAATCCGTCCTAATACCTGTGCTCCATTCAGATTATCTGAAAAGAAAATGCAGCGAATATAAGTTCATTACATTCCATAAGAAGCTTACTAAAGCATGTTAAAAGCATGTTAACAGTTTCTAACTGCTTTATCAATCAAACTACTGTAGAGAGGGCGAGAGAGCACCAACCTACAGCAAGAACTGTACTTCTTTGATCCTCATATGCAATAAAAGCAAAACCTTTTGATTTACCAGTACCCTTGTCTCTAACAAGATTAACATCAACAATCTCTCCATACCTGGAAGCAGTCATTTAGAAGCAGATATTAACTGCCAACCAAAAAAAAGGAGACATGCATAATTTAACCTCACAAGAAGACAGATAAATAAAGGGAGATAACTAATAACACCTAAATTCAAAAATACATACAACAAAATCCATATCCTCTACATATTCTCTAAATAAACAATAAAATCTCTTGAACCCACTCAGTGAATTCAAGCTTGAAACTAAAATTTTGCCAAATTTTACCATCTTCAGGAACTCTTATGGCCCTGATGAATCAAACCCCACTGAACTCTAAAACTTGTGGAAGCAAATCAAGGCTCTCAACATTCAAATCATATTTGATATCATACATAACTTATTCCTTCGAACAAAGGGTACATGTCACAATGAAATTTAACAGAAAAATACTAAGTAAACCACTAAACCTCCTGTGAACAGTGGGGGTGTATAAATATTCACAATAACTAAAAGGATATAATTAAATTAGGCAAGTAAGAATATCACAGAACAGCAGAATAAGTAATTGAATAAATGTTGATGGCTAATACGGACTTACTGAGCAAAAACAGCAAGGAGGTCACCTTCCGTGAGATCGAAGGGTATGCCACCGACGTAAACATAAGCAGAATCTTTGTACTTAGCGTGCCACGACGCATCATCCGAAATTCCAAGAGAAGCTTCCTTCGAATTTATGTTCTGGATTCGCTTCACCAGCGTTAATGGATTCATTGCTTCTAACCAATTTCAATTGACCTAAAATTATTTATATCACTTTCTCAACCGTCGTGGATCAGTCGATCAGTTCAAATTCACTAAAAGTCAACACAGGCATTGTATCAAACACTTGGTGACCAAACTTTTCAAAAATTATTTAAGCAAAACAAAGACGTAGATGAAATAAGCAGAATCATTGAAGCATCAACCGAAATGATGTTATTAGACTCATACCAGAACATCAGACGGCGCCGCAAGAGAGACGAATCGTAGAAATGCCAAGAAAATATTTTCTTTCTTCCAATATGCAACTTATTAGACTCTACAAGTCACAAGAACAAAAACCCCCTTCGTGAATTTGCCTGAAAAGATCAAAAGACCGTCAAAATCACTCACGAGGTTACCAATTTCAAAATAAAGAAACAAAAGCATAACTTCCCACAAAACCCATTTAACTAAAAGGTAAAGCTAAATCCATAATACTCACATATTACGCCGGAAGATCAGAGCTCTACCACTGTGGTGTGGTAGACTTGACGGCGGCGATGGTTTGCTGTCCTATATATTTTACTAATCAACAATTCTTTAATCTAGTTGATGTTCACGTGGTGGAATACATAGTATAAGGGTCATTGGTGTGTAATGACTATAAATCATCAAGTAGCCTTCATAGAGGGGTGTATTCAGATGGGAAAATAATTAAAATTGCAGAGGGAATTGACGTGATCATGATAAATGAGAATAGGTTCTTTCATACTGCACCGAAATTTTGGAATCTTGATTTAAAAACTAAAAATTGGATCGCAACAGGCAAAGGTTTAAGCCAATTGCATATGGAAGTTATATGAACCTATCAATTAGGTTTTAATCAATAAAGATTAACTCACAATCCAATCCACAAAAAACCTTTATATAACAATTCACAGAAATTCATCAGAAACTATTGCAACTGTCGCATTAGAGTGAGAACAGTTTGTGAGATTTAGTTGTAAGTGTAATATTTCTTTTTAATTTAGCAATGTACTTCTTAAACACTGTATATCCTAAGGTTGAGCACACTTCTTATATATATGTGTGTGTATGTGTGTGTGTGACTAGGGTGTTTGGATAGTTGTGGCACCTAAACAATTCTCCGAGGTTTTGAAGTTAACAACGAATAAACCCTCAATGGTACTCCTATTAAAACCGAAGGAAATCAAATCAAGACCTCTTGAATAAAACACCAAAAGCTCTATCGTCCTACCCAACTTCCCAAGGGTGATTCAAACTTCTTAATATGCCAGACAGCCAGCGGCTTCAGCAGCTTCATGAATCAATAGCCTTATAGAACATGGCTAATAAGGAATTCAGATGAAATAGATTGCACAAAAAACACATATATAGGAAAAAGAAAATAAAAAAGAAAGAACACAGTGATCGATGGGATATTATCCCTGTCATTAAAAACATTATAGAACAATCTATGGACATTATTACAGCCAGTTGGAAAAGACTCGCCGAATTCTGTGTGTGTACAGCCCTATGTCATTAAATTTATAAGAACTCGCTTCTGCACTAAGTTGTTATCATCATTGTCAAAGAAGTAAAATGCTCTATCTGTTATATGAACTGTAAAGCCGGCCAACAATGGGGATAAAAAAACTCATGACCATCTCTGCCTCTCGCCCATAAAAGGGTAGCAATCATAAACGAGGCAAAAGGATTATAATGTACAGTGTCGCATATGGAGATCAAAACTCACCTTCTCCACCAATCTGGAACTTTCAACCTTTTTTGTCTATTTACAGCAAGAGAACTGCAGGAAGTTTGTACTTAACCTGTCTCCATAGCTATTGATGGCATCTTCTTTCTGGGGGATATGGAATTCAAAGTGATGTGAGATGCTTTAAGATGCCTCCACATTTTAATCCACCTCTCTTTGGAAATTGTCGGAGCTGATAACCATGTAACCAGGTTGTACAGCCTCTTTCACGGAAAAGATAATCGAGAATTGAGTGTAATCAATTTCTCTCAAAGGGGAGCTCAATTCGATCACTCACAATATATGGAACGCAGTGGCTTACAATAGCATCAAATAGGCGGCAAGATGATGGAGTGTCTCCTGCAGGATGCAAACAGAACTTTGAAGAACGCATCCCTAGTGTGGACTGGTATCACAGAAGAACAGAAAGAAAATGAGAAAGAGGAAAACTCTGGTTAAACAATTTGCATAACCAAAGACTGCCAAAGACAAATCCCATCTTATGAAATTGGAAAATACAAGTTTCTTTCTTAAAGAGATATAAAGAATGAATTTGCATTTTGCTCCTTACATGAAAGACCTCTTCTATTTATTTAGGATAGAAGCTGTTAACTATAACAAGAGATAAAAAATAGCTCCCCAGTCTCCAATGATACAGTTTCCCAGGATGAAAGTTTTATTTTAAAAGTAATGGAAGGATATAATGTATTGCAAGAATTGCTGACAGGGAGAAATTCAAAGGTCATACAAAAGGATGGTGTCTGCAAAACTTGCCCTCATGAATCAATGAGAAGCCAGCTATAAGAATCTAACAAGATCACATATTTGATAGTGAAATACTGTGATGGGCAAAAGAATTATTGGTCTTGTTAAACATGTTCTGGGGCCTAAGAAACAAACTCAATTTGATGATCTATAAAACTCCACAACATACCTCTTAATGCTCGTTGTTGTTGCGAGCTACGCTCAAGTAAAACTCATCATAGCCAGTTAATATCTTTGCCAATTTAGCACGAACTTTGCCTTCCTGCAGCACAAGAGACTATAAACAATCAATTCTAGTTCCAAATAGTGGTTCCTTAATGGGATAGTTATTGGTTAAACTAGAATACATCTTTTTGACTGTATTCCCCGGAAGAAGAGCAATGAGGTGCGAGACTCAAAGGGTCTGGAGGGTCATCATCTAAAAAGGATCCACAACGTGTACATATGGGGAGACCACATCTTTGCTCAGATTAGACATGCTCCTGGGGTACCGACCAAAATCTACAATAATAAGAATTGATGCATTCACTTGCTCCGAAGAAATCTGAAAGCATTCGGATGCGTCATAGAATACATGGTCTCTTCCTCCTGACCTCTGCCAGTATTGGATTTATGCAAGTATTCAGAACTTCAATCTGAAATCAGAAGACAATAATCAAATGGTAATTTGAAGTTACGGGAGAAAAAACAAATATCTGTTTGCGCATCAATTTTGGAAATGGCTTATATAGAGTGCAGAACTTGAAAAGGGAAAAATTGGTCAGCAGAGGGAGTGCAGGACAAAAAAGAAGGAAAACATGGAAAAAAATAATATAATTTATAAATTTCCAAAATATTACAATTGCTATGGGGTAGAGCTATTTCCATAATGGTTTACACAGGCAATTTTTCAGCAACTTTGATCTGGAACCATCAATTAATTTCTGAAAATCCTTACATGCTTGCCTTTCAATGTTAAAGTAAAAGCTAAAATGCTCCTTTGAAAATGAATGACGAATGGATTAATTTATTTTCTGGCCTCTCATCAACAAAGCTTATAACCAACCAAACCAATCATCATTATAACAACAAATTGGAGGGTGACAAAATAAAAAGATAGTCTCACAAGAAAGCAAAGGCATAGATAAATACTTGGGAGACTATCCACTATAAAATTGCTTCTATGAATATAACATTTTTTATATAAAACGACATAACTTCCAAACTTAGCTATATCTAGCTTCACCCAATAATAGTACCTACAAAGAGATCGATTCCTAAACTACATTTCCCAGCTTCCCTTTTCAGCTGTTTAGATCTACAAAGATCAACAAATTCGTGCAATCAATCAACTTTGCAGTTTGCACTACTATCCATATGCATAAACGAATTCCCAAACAAGACCAATCTAATCATCAATGCGTATTTTCGAAATTAATCAACAAATTATATACTAATTTCATCTAAACTCTGAGGAACAAAAAAAATAGTACGCCCTAGTTGCCGCCGTAATTATATAAAATAAATTAATTAAATTAGTACCTGCAATTGGTGGTCAATCTCGGTATTCGGATCCGTCATGTAATGGCCATGAGTATTAAAACTCAACGAAGAAAAAAAGGGCCGAAAAATGCATCGGCAATTTCCGGATCCAAAACCCTAACCGCCCTCTCTTTTCACCGTCGCCACCGTCGTACAAAAGCGAAGCATAAGCCAATACTCACACTGTGCTGTCGTTTCACGCCTGAATATTCGGCAAGGCGGCAGATTCTCCTTGTCACCAGCAAGTATCAGGACTCCGGTGGTCCAACATGCCGACGTGGAACCTCCTCGGGAGATCGTACATGTAACTTTAAGGGGAGCAATGTTTGTCGCGCAGGAGGAGAGTGCGGCGGAGGGCGACTGTAGTAACGGAAAAAAGTACGATCGAATATCGACGGTCCGATGAAATTGAGTAAGTCATGATGAGAAGAGCGACGAAATGAGAGAGAATATAACTTTTCCAAACATTTTGGAGACTCTTGCCGTAACAAAGCTACGTCAACAGTCTCGCCTTGGTGCAGGTGCCGGCGGCTTTATAAGGCCAAGTTCTTTCAGTTAGACAAAACGGAAGAAGAACAGTTGCTCCCTGTTTTATGAATGGATGTATTGTACAGTACTGATGTACTCACCTTGTAGCCATGCCATTTAACGTGCTCTGCCCAGTGCTGGGGCGGTAACGGTACTAATTAATTAATTATAAATCAAAAAAATCATTTTAATTTATGTAATCACCACGACGAGGCCACCTTCCTTCACTGGCACTTCCATTTTGTTACCGCCAGATCTCCGTGATGCCGCGTCTGTGTAGTTAAAGAAGTAGAATTAAAGCTTTTAACCGAACTTTTTCTTTTTATAATTAAATTAATGGCTGTATAAGGCAATTCAACGTGGGTTTGGGCGGAGTGTTTCTTCATAGGCAAGGAAAGTATTATCAAGTATAATTTTAATTTGAATTCAATTTTATAATTGGTTGAAAATTCTTATCTTATTTTAATTCACATTAGACAAGTTCTTTTATGACATTGTTCATAACTTCACTATAAAGAATAGTCATGTGAACAATTCATTTCTAAAATGGGTTTCATAAAATTGAGAATTACAGAGATTCAATATTTCTAAAAAGGGTTTCATAAAATTGAGATTAAGAGAAAAAGATTACATAGTTCGAAGTAACCCAAAGCAGGTAAATATGATTCGTAGTTTAAATTTTAAACGTTCCCCAATGCCGGTAAACCATTTAATGAATGACACGCCGAAACAAGAATACATTACAATCTTATGCAAAGGCAGGTAAATCCTGGATCATGATTCGTGAATGACAAACCGAAACAAGATACATTCAGTCACATAACTTGGGAGGTGGGGCCATCAACAAGAAAAAGCCCCTTTGTTTTTCTCAGCCAAAGATCGAAGTGTTTAACGGTCTTTTTCATGAGGAATCAAGGTTTCCATGTTTACCAGTTTTTCAAGAATGAATATACTCATTTTCATCTATCTGATTTATGCCGTGATCATCTCTCTCTCTGTGACGATGAGAGGAA